CATGGAACAACAAAAGACCCTGAATAGCCAAAGCAATCAAGAGAAAAAAGAACAAAGCTGGAGGCATCACACTAGCTGATTTCGAAATATGCTACAAAGCTATAGTAAACAAAACAGCATGGTATTGGCATAAAAACAAACACATAGACCAATGGAACAGAATGTAGAACCCAGAATTAAATCCATGCATTTACAGCCAACTCATTTTTGACAAAGGAGCCAAGAACATACATTGGGGAAAAGACATTCTTTTCAACATCTAGCTGGGAAACTAGATATCCATTTGCAGAAAATAAAACTAGACCCCTGTCTCTCACCATATACTTAAATCAACTCAAAATGGATTAAAGCCTTAATAATAAGACCCAAAACTATAAAACTGCTAGAAGAAACACAGGGGAAATGCTTCAGGACATTGGTCTAGGAAGGGATTTTATGGCTAAGACTTCAAAAGCACAGACAAAAAAAAACAAAAATAGAAAAATGGGACTATCTTAAATTAAAAAGCTTCTGAACAGCAATGGAAACAATCAACAGAATGAAGAGACAACCTGTAGAATAGGAGAAAATATTTGCAAATTATTCATCCAACAAGGGACTAATATCCAAAACATACAAGGAACTCAAACAACAGCAAAAAACAATCCCATTAAAAAGTGGGCAAAGGATCTGAATAAACATTTCTGAAAAGAAGACATACAATTGGCCAATAGGTATATAAAAAAAAATGCTCAACATCACTAATCATCAGGAAAATACAAATCAAAACCACAATGAGATATCATCTCACCCCAGTTAGGATGGCTATTATCAAAAAGACAAAAAATAACAAATTGTGGTTAGGATGCAGAGAAAAGGGAGGTCTTGTACACTGTTGATGGGAGTGTAAACTAGTTTAGCCATTATAGAAAATGGAATGGAAGTTTCTCCAAAAAGTAAAACTAAACTGTTAATACCATATCATCCAGCTATGCCACTACTGGGTATTTATTAAAAGGAAAGGAAGTTGGTATATCGAAGGGATACGTGCACCCCTGTGTTTACTGCAGCACTATTCACAATAGCCAAGATATGGAATCAACCTAAGTGTCCATCAATGAATGAACGGATAGAGAAAATGTGGTGTATATACACAATGGAATATTATTCAGCAATAAAAAGAATGAGATCCTGACATTTGCAGCAACATGAGTGGAACTGGAGATCATTATGTTAAGTGAAAAGCCAAGCACAGAAAGACAAATATCACATGATCTCACTCATTCGTAGATTTATCATAGGTTTATTTTAAATACTGAGTTCCCATGCTATAGTTACAGTATTACTTAATTTATATTCAGGTGTTCCAACCTTACTGTTCCATAATATGGAAGCACGTAGAGTGCTCTACTTTGGCATGTGATATTATGCCCATTGTTACGTTATTTAGTTATCTATTGATTCATTTGATCACTATACAATTGCAGGTAAATATGAATATATGGTGTTATATGCAGCATGATAAAGTTACCATTTGTGTTCACCTTAAATGGATCCTATCTCTGTTCTCTTGCTCTTGTCATTGTCAGTGTCATGCCTGTCATCTACAATACATCCTTACTAATCAAAGTGTGGCCCTTGCTTAGCCATCACCTATGAGCTTGTTAGAAATGCAGTCTCAGGCCCGCCCCACTGAATCAGAATCGACGTTTTAACAGGATCCCCAGGTGATGTATATGCACATTAAACTGTGAGCATAGCTGCTGTGTATTACTGCAGCAAATTGCCAACCTGCCACACTCTGTCCCTCTTTCTTGTCGAACCTTTTTTTCTAAAACATAGTTCCAATACCATTATTGTCCTATTGCCTAGCCAGGGCATGAGGAGTCCCTTATTTAATAAGCACCTTGGTGTTTTAGTTAAAAACACAGATAATCAGATCTTTTCGAAGGATCTAGGGTGGGGCTTGGAAATCTGTTATTTTTAAGAAGCATCTCAAGAGATTCTGATTATTAGGCAAGCTTAGGAAACACTGGTCCCATGATATAAAATCAGCCTCCTTTGCATGGCTTTCAGACCCCTCAGCGTGGCCTTTGCGAATTTCCCCCTCTGCCATGGCCCGTTTCTTAGGGCCGAGGAATGAACACAGAGACAAAAAGACACAGACACACATAAAGACAGTACACGACTGCAGCCACTACAAAGAAACACAGACACACAAAGATGGTATAAGACTGCAGCAAAAGCTCTTGCTGTAGTTGCTTTATTTATAACACAGCCTGTGGCAACTGTCCCACCGCAATTTCTTTGTTCTCACACTGTCCCGACTCAACAAGTCCCTGTTCCTTGTTGTTTCGTCTCCAGCGAGCAGATGTTTGCATCTAAACTCTCTAGCCCCTCCTGTTTGCAGGGTTAGGACGCTCTGGACTTGCGTGCAAGGCCACAGACATGTTCTTGAGAAAAACAACAAGGAAACATTCCCAGACAAAGTCTCCTCTACACCCCTCTCTCTCCTCTCTTACCATACTGCCTGAGACCCTGGCCACACCGAGCTGTTCCCTCGACACATGCAGCATTTCCACACCTTAGTTCTGTGCCAACTCTTCCCTCCATGTGGTATGGACACCTTGACCCTCCCCTGCTTTGGGCTCTGATTGTTGGGCTCCTTCAGACACCACATCTTCAGGACAATGCCACTAGCTCATCCTTTCAGAGGTAAAGACTCCTTCTTCCTTACACCCACCACTTTTTGCTTTTTTCTTTTACTACCTGTCCCCTTCAACATGGAATTATTGTTTGTGCCCTCACTAGCCTTGTAAGCTCCTTTGGAAACATCATTCCATGTCTTATTTGTCTTTGTGTTATCCCAGCTTTACCCTAACTCTCAGCTTATCACTGTACGTTTCCATTATGAAGCTCTTAAGTATGTATTAAATCGAATGGAAAATACTTTTGAGAGATGTTCATGTCCAATTAAAGGTCCTTAAATCCACAAAATTTTGAAATGAACAGCAGGACATGTGAAATGTTGGATGCTAACTGGATTTTTTAAAGGGGGATTTTACTTACCCGTAGACTTGTTTGCCTCTTTCGCAGTAGTTTATGTTAGCAAACATCCACCCATTCTGTTCTTCCAGTAGCCGGGGCTTCTTTACATATCCTGCGAGCACTCTTGCCAGTGTCAAGGACATTCTTCCAAGTGTAGCCGTTAGTGGTTAAAGAACTACTGAATTATTTTGAATTGTTTGTGATGCCAGTGCTTCTTAGAAACACATAATAGAAAAGTTTTGGTTTGGTTTTTTTTTATAGTGATTTTTACAAAATAAATCCCCTATGTAAAAAGCAAATTTATGTCTACGATCTGCTAGAGTGATTACTTAAGACTTGTCATTATAATTAGGTCTTTTGGTTTCAGTTATTCAATACAATTTTAAAAATACTTCTTACTTTCTTACAGATGGTTAATAGTGAAAGATTCCTTTTTACTCTACATGAAACCAGACAGCGGTGCCATTGCCTTCGTCCTACTGGTGGATAAAGAATTCAGAATTAAGGTGGGGAAGAAGGAGACAGAAACAAAATATGGACTGCGAATTGATAATCTTTCAAGGTAGAAATTTCAAACATTTAAGAAGGATTTCTACAAAAATCACTTAAAAACAAAGTTTTTCTCTAAACCTTAAGTAAAGGGGTAAAATAATTTAAATGTTAGAAAATTGTAATTTAGAACTCATCCTCAATCAAAAGTGATGAAACTACTTTTTCCCTGTATAAATTTTCAAAAATAGAATATCCTATGTGCAACGAAGTCAGAATAAACAATCCCATGTGTAGATGGATACCTGCTGTAGCAAAATTACTACTCAATTTGCTGAGTTACCAAACAAATAAATTAGAGTGATAGTTCACATTTTAAAAAAATAAAATACAATTTTACCTTATAAATCAGTATCCTTTAATTAACAAACACCTAAAAAGTGATTTGATTTACAAAAATTCTGTTTACATACAGATTTGAAGAAAGATATCCTAAAAAGATACTCATGTACATTTATTATAGATATTTTTAATCTATAATTTTTTTAGTGAGTAATGTGTGTGTTTTGATATATATGTTTCTGTCTCGAAGACTGTATGTGTGTGTGTGTCTCTGTCTGTCTCTCTCTATATATATATCCATTTGACTCTATATAGTTCACCCTTATGTACATTAATATACATACATTTCTCTTTTTACAATGTTACTGACATATATATATATATATATCCCTACTAATATACGTGTGTGTGTGTGTGTGTGTGTGTGTGTGTGT